CCTGTTGCATATTGCTGGAAAAAAAATCTCCTTTAAACTTCTAAAAGAAACACTAAACTTCTATGTTTGCACCCTTCTCCCTGAAACTTTGTTTTGGGAAAATATTTTCTTTTTACAAGGTTTTCATTACTAGTCGCCCTGTCCCCTCATTAGTTAAACAGCTCTTGAATAGCTCTTAACTCATACACCAGAATTTCCAGAAGTTCAGCATTTTATTGGCTTTTCCTCTATCTTTCTAGTTGTATTTTCTCTCTTCTGAAAGACCTGCATGCAATACCCTGGATTTTGCTTCAGTCAGAAGTGCATTTCTGCTGTTGATTTCTCAATACCTTTGTTAATAATTGCTGATTCAGTCTGGGAACTCTTTTTTTTTAACACTGCAGAATTTTCAGATGAGTGTCACATCAAATCTTCTTAAGCAAGTAAACCCCCTCCCCCCAAAAAATCCCAAACAAAACAAAGAAAACCCCTTATTTTAGTGTTTTACATTCACCCACATGCCTTGTTCTGCACTTATGACACTGGATTTCATTTGCCATTTCATTGCCAAGTCTGTCAGTACAAGAGTAACTCATGATAGTTTTAGTTTTGGTTGTTCTGAATCAATTTTTATCATCAAACTCTGTCAGTTCACCAGTATTCCTTTTTACTGAGCAATCTAGCACAGATCCAACAGCATCCCACTGATAACAAATTTCGGTTTGAGTTGATCACAAAATGCCTCCTCTCTTGGTGTTCTGCAGTGCAGATATTCAGAACTGCCTGCATATTCACCAGAAATGGTGAGCAGCACAATTAATGCCAGATGCAAAGAAATGGAATTTTAATAAGAGAAGACTTGAAGCTATTGAAGGACCTTGTGCCTTCATCACAAGTGCAGCATCTATGAGATGAGATTTACACTATGTAAGCCTTTAATAGGAGGTTTGGTTGTTGTTTGGTTTGTTTAAATAAGGAAGCAAATTTCCAAAAAACCCCACAAACATCATAGCTGGAGAATTTTACGAGTTGTTAGGAAAATATCTAACAAACCCCAAAAAAATTAATGTGCTTTTGGTAAAAGAAAAATTAGAAAATTAGCTAGGTTTCTAAACTCTGCTCCAGCCTAGTGTTGTGACTTTGTAATACTGAAGGAGGAGAGGGATTTCTTTCCTCTCCCAAAACCCATATTTAAGTCAACAATTTTCTTAGAGGCACTTACAGAGAAAAATGAATACAGATGTTCAAAAATATCAAGTGCTTAGTATTCTCAAACTTTTTAATGGCTATGGGTGTGATCATGTTCGACAAGAATATCATCTATATTATATTATCTATATATAATATACCGTTTGCACTTGTGTTTATAATATTTCTCATACAAAGTAAATAGTGATTTTAAATTGTTTTCCTTGGTGTGAACTGGTACTTCTACATTTTAAGAAAGTATTTCTTAGTTCCTTTCAGCACTAGTTTACAGTTTTATCCTCTGAAGTATTCTTTTACTATGTCATAGAATTTAGGTAAAAACAAATACCCTGAAACAGGCTTGAACTTGTATTCTGGAATATAAAGAAAATTAAGTGCATATGGCAATTTTTGCCTGTTATAAATGAAAGGAGCCATAACTATACAGTCTAGAGTCATTTACCTTAACAGAATTGGAATTACGTAAAAAGCAAAGAACAAACAAAAAAGGGAGAGAAAGCTGTCAAAAGTATGTGTTTTAAAATGAACTGAGTCATGAAACTAGGCATTAAATCAAATCATGATTTTACTTTACTATTATTTTAATAAAGACAAATGTAAAACATTTTGAGGAGATATCTTTAAATTAAGAAGATCACCAAAACCAAGACAACAACAAAACAAACTCTCATACTCAGAAAGTGCTGATTCAGTATGTTTGTTTTGTCCCTGAATTAGTTTCGCGAATATTTTTACTTTCTTCTCCTTCTGTTCCTTAAAGACCCAACTCCAGGAAGAATATTGTGAAAGTTTTTATTGATCATTAAAACATACTTTAATATTTATAAGGAAGGTACTATAACTGGTAAAACACTGCTGTTTTTTTCCTAATATGCCATGCAGTTCCTCTTTTTTTACAAAAGAACATTATACCAATTTTGTGTGCTCTAAGACATACAAGGTTGCAACGCTTTTCTATTCAGTAAAAGAAGTATTTGAACCCAGTTAAAGCCAATTCTTGCTGCAGATCCTCTGCTGACCAGATTTTGGCAGCACCCCTTGAAATACCTGGCAATGTGTCAGACCGTTACCACTTCAGAAGTACTAACTTTCCTTTAGATGAGGTGCAACATTAGTCACGCACTTTCTTTGTTACAGCAGATGTAGGACCCAGCAGCCAAGTGATCAACACGCACCCAGGCTTTGCCCTGCTGCAAGTGTTTCAGTTATCAAACATATGGTCTGATGTTGCGAGTCTCGCTTAAATGTTGGAACTGAAATCAGCTGTGCAGGAACGCTGAAACCAGGGAGTCCTCGGCTCCCTTTTGGACAGCAGGATTTCACACAGCCACCTGCAAAATGCTGTCTGTGCAGCTGACACAGACACTGCCATCAAGCTGCAGATGCTGACAGATAGTTGTTATTTTACATACTGCTCATAGTCCCCCTCAAATATTTTAAATAACAGAGAGGCATGTACAAGGGGAAAAAAAAAAGTAATGGAGGCTTTAATAGGACAACGGAAATGCTGTAGTCCCACGGAAATTGTATATAAAGAGTACCAAAATATTTTGAAACATTTTCAACTTGCAGAAACCCTGTGAGAAAGTTACATGGTATATTGCAGACACCTTTTCTGCTATTCAGGAAAAGACTCCTTCACTCCAAAGCCCTCGTCTCAGAGTGTAGGGCAGTCCCGAATACACAGCAATATAGAGAGGAACTAGAAGAAATTACAACTGATTTCAAATCCCTTTCAGTTTTACAAAAACTATTGCAAAACTGAAAGGGATTTTGAAGTAGTAAAGGGGACATTTGATTATATTTCTCCAGTAGCAATCTGGGAGTTGAACAGAAACATTTTCTTCTTTATTAAGAACAGTTTCCAGGAACACAATCTAGTTTAATGATTGTTTTCTCTATACAATTGTTAGCACTACATGTCACTGGCCAATTTCTCTTAGATCCTTTGAACAAAGTACAGAAGACAAGTTATATCTCAGTTTAATTTGTCAGGAAGCTACCTTATTTTTCTATTCTACTCTCTGGAATTAATAATGCATTAGCCACTTTAGATCACTATTTCCAGATGTTTTTTCAAGCACAGCCAGCTTACATATGCCTGAACACATCTTTTTTAAAGAAACCGCATGTGTAACCTTAAGGCAATGTAATCCTGAGAGGAGGATTAACCTTTAGTTGCATTTACATTATTTTTGGAGCGTGACTAACCTTTTATTTGGAAGTATTAAACAGGAGGAATTGGGCTATTTACAGATGGACCAAACCTGCTGATTGAAAGCTAAATTCTGGTCTTGCTGGAATTAGTAGGACTTTTGTTAAAGACCTAAGTAAAAGATCAGTTATCCCTCTTGTGCTTAACTTTGATTTTCAGAGACTCTCACAGAACCACAATTTCAATCATTGCCAAAAGGAGTAAAGAGACTCACAATCTGTGAAAAGAGGGGCGCTTCACTGAGGTAAAGCTTTTTCCCACCTGCACATTATATTATAACCAGGACATATATATATTTATATAAATATATAAAATTATGTCACACATTATTATAATGATAATTATTGAATATGGTAATACTCTTATATAGCAATAAAATTACATAATGTATATTATGCTAAGATATACCAATGAAAATACTTTAAATACTTTAGCTGCAACTGGATGTACTTGCAACAGCAACACAATGACACCATACACCTTTTTTTGTCTCCTATTCCCATTTTTGAAATTCAAATTCATCAATTCAAGCAAGTGGTAGAACAAAAAACCCCCTAAGGATTTGGTTTTTTGGCTCCAAGATTTAAAGTACTGTCAGTTAAAAAAGCCAAATGCTGCAATAAGTACAATTGTATTTGTTACACTTAAGAAATTATAACGTTCCTCATTACATCAAATGATATGCTCTTTACCTTGCTGCAACTAATAGGTATTTATGGCAGAGGACAGAAGAAAGGTAGTCAGTAAATATTCCATGGCTTTATACCCATGCTCTTGTTTCCCCATGCAAGATTTGGTGTTTTCTCAGAGATTTTTCTGGTGTGTGAGTTGGGGGCTGAGAGCCTCTTTTTAAAAGAAAATGTAAAATGAACCCATTTCATTTATTTCTGTGAAAAAGTCAGCAGTGACTATAAAAGATCAGCTAGTGTCAGGTCTTTACCTGGTGAAGTCTTGTGTAATTAAGACAAACGTTTCCACTTTGGGCACGATGAAGTAATTTAATCTGCCTTATATAGACAAAAATCTGCAAATATTCTTTATGTTGCTGGTTCCAATAAGCAATAAACTTCATTTTTAATTTCCTAATATTAGCTAGAAAGGAATATGCCTCCTCTAGTAATTTAGTAGAAAGCAGAAATTGGTAATAAGGAAAGGAAAGGGATATTCTGTAATCAACTTAAGTTACATGCCTATATGGTATAATACAAAAATATAAGCTATTAAGACAAGGACAGGAAAGAGGCCCTGGAAGATCATACATGAAAATCTTTCAGAGGCACCCAAAGGAGTCCAACATAACTTTATACACATAAGTAATGCAAGATTCTAGACACTTCCTGTTACTTTTTGATTATAACTAGCCATTTCTCAGGATTATCATAGCTGGTGTCTTAGCTAAAAGATCAGTTCCAGTTGGTACAGTTAATTAATTGAGTTGAGCACAGATTAGCCCTGAAACTGTTCTGGTCTAAGGGCTTTTTGACCACAAATATAGGATATATAGAGAGAGACAAACACTGTCAGAGAGTAATTTGCAACATAATTTAGAATACTCTATTTAAATAATATGTCATTATTTTGTATGGCTTATCCTTACCTTATGTCTCAGAAGCACCATGAAATACTTCAGCTGCATCCTCTCCAGGGAACAGAGAAATCTGCTGTGCATAAATGTGTTACAGCACATACCACAGTCAAGATGGCCACAATACACAGAGTATCACCATACATGATCAGAAATCTTAACCCATACAGAGCACCACCACATCACTTCAGAAGGCTGCAAGCATCTGCTTCTCTTATTCTTTAGCCCAACCTTTTATACCCCTGATGCTGATGCACTGCACCTGTGTGCCCTCTGTTACCCTTGGTGGTTGGTCAGTGTCCCTGGGCACTCCAGGTCAATTGCTGTCAGTGCTGCTCACCTGCTGCTCACCGCTGTGCCCACTGGGGATGAGGCTGGGCTGCAGCCCCACCCCAATTACCACAAACTGTGTACCTACACAAGTGTGCAAGAGATATGAAGAATGATCTGTGCTTATTGTTGCAATTGATGTGTTTGTGGGCTCTAAACACTGAATGCAAAGTATATCACCTTTGAGAAGTGTTGGTGAACACATCCTGTGTATATTTTTTAGTGCCAGATTATGTGCCATGTCTATCTGACCTTGCTGCTGGAAAAATTGTGACTGGACTAGAGGAGGAAAAGTTCTTATTTTCTACCCAGTATTACACCTATTTAAGATGAGCATATCTGGGGTAACTCAGAATAAAAAGACAGGTTTAAGTTCTTCTGAAGTATTCAGCTGTGAACTAACCCACAACAACTTGCTGTGGCAATGTGATGGATATGAAATTTCTCTTCCGTAGAGGACATCAATGTCTGTTCAACAGAAAATAGGCAAAGGGTTTTGTTTAAACACTACAGAGTTCTTTCACAGTATATAAAAGAAACACACCAGATAAATTTTAATATAACTTCCACTGGTGTAACAGACATCTATTGATTTGTAAACCTTATTGAAATGTAAGGAAGGACCATGCTGCTAATAAGGGATAGTTTATATGGTCATTAAGACATCAATGTTCCATCAGGGATTTAATTTAAGGTCTGTTCCAAGGGCTGGAAGTAGAACTGACGGCAGGTATAGGGATATATAAGGCTAGATCCTTTTTCTTTAGCTCCCTTCCTTTTACAGAAGATTTCAAGACAGCAGAGAGAATATGTCTGTGTTGTAATGCACATCATGTTTGCATGCTTTCCTGCCTTGTTGATTTAGAAGAATCTGTTATCTCAGAGAGAGGATTTGGGGATTGTAGATTTAGTCCAGCTAAAGTCTTTATCTTTTCATTGCTATATTTTAGTAACTTATTGCTACCTTTTGTCTCGTCATAAATTCTGTTAACAGCTATCTTTGAAATACTCACCTTGTTGTCACGTGTGTGGTACCAACAGAAACATAAATGTATGGAATATGTTCAGAATACGTGTCAATGTAGTCACACGTTCTGTAGCCTGGCTCTATGTACTAAAACATTAAAATTATGTTTCTTTTCATGGTAAAAACAAGACATTTTTTGATGTTTGATTCTTTACTGTGAGGGTGGTGAGGCACAGGAACAGGTTGCCCAGAGAAGCTGTGGATGTCCCATCCCTGGCAGTGTCCAAGACCAGGCTGGATGGGGCTTTTAGCAACCTGGTGTAGTGAAAGTGTCCCTCCCAAGGAACTGAATGGTGTTTAAGGTCCCCTCCAACACAAACACCTACATGATGGCAGAATGTCCTTTTTGAATAAGAGCTGGAAGTGTTCAGCCCTTGAGGAAGACAGTCATTGCTTTAAGGGGTTGGGTCTTTATATAACCTTGTGAACCTGAAAGTTGTAAATGTAAGTTAGGATCCTGTGAATGTACCTCAGTCCAATGAGCCTACATTTTAACTGAACATCCCTTTCAGGAAGGAAAGTTAGATGTGATCATATGGGAAGCACTGCACATATGCTTAACAAGGAGAGTTTAGAACTGGTGTCTGGTAGCTCCTAGGAAAAAGTTCCCAAACCAGAGTTACAGAGGAAGTCCTCATGACTAACTTTTACAAGCTTATGTAGGAAGACTGGGGAAATTTTCAGGAGAAAGGATAAAATGGATCTTATTTCAAATATAGAAAAAATTTTGTTTTGTTTGAATCTGCCTTTTAGCAGTTTATCCTGAATGAAAACAAACTGGATTGTTATTCTCCCACTGGTATTAATTGAGACCTACTGTAGGAATATCAACAACTTCTGTTAGGAGGATCAGAGTCTGATTTATGACTTGACAAACATTCTGCTGTGTTATGAAAAGAAGATAACACTAATCTAAATTCTAATATTGGCTTCCTTTAACAATAACTCAGATACTGCACATCACAATTTTCTCAAATCTTCTGCTTCTCTGGTTTCATTTAGACATAAGGATAACAGCTGTCTTAGAGGCCTCCTTGTCTGTTTTATTTCTTTTGAGACTTTTTATCAAATAGTTACTAGCCTGAACAGGTAACTGTAAGGTGACTGAAATAGTTTGTGTCTGTTAACACTGCTCTAATTAGAAACTAGTGTTTTTCCTCTCCTGTTATTTGGTCCAACATCAAAACATCACACCAAATATTTTGTGGTTTTCATCAGACCTTGTGAACTCCTTGAATGACTGAAGAAAATAAAACATGTAATTATCGGATATTTTAATGCAACGTAACTCCAAATGGAAGGCCTGCAGAGCCCTCTCTGTGCAACATCAAGCCTGTGTGCATGTAAATAAGTAAATAAAAATGAGTGGCAGACTTGTGGGGCAAAAGAGAAAGGCTACTGGCTTTTAATTTTAAAACATACTGTCTAGAGATAAAATGTATTTATTTTCTATGTTTTCAATAATATGCCAAAAAAGCTTATCAGCCCAGATTGTGCTGAAAAAGGATGATCGAAGCCATAGACCTTAAAGTCACATTTAACTGCAGATAATAATAAAATAAGCAGTGAAGAATGGGATTTTCTGAGAGCTCTGCCAAAATGTTCTATACTATGTGTCCTCTATTCCTATTTCTGGATATAAGTGTGAAATTCAGCTTAAATGACTAATTTAGATATGTGTATGATGTTGTATTTTACTGTTCTGACAGAAAAACAACACCAGAACAGCATTGGGCCTACTTAAATCAGGTGTTTGGTTAAATCTCAACTAGAAAGCAGGTTTAGTACAATGCTTAAAACCCTACTTTTCACAAGGGAGCTGGTCCTAGTAGGATCTTAGAGATACGAGCTTGCACCCTGATTTTAGAATGGAAGAGGAGCTGATAGCTGTCATGTTGCAATTGTTATTTTCAATGTTCGGGGCTAAACAAATGCTCATTGGAAAGCTGCATGGATTTGGAACAGAAGAGCAACAGGAAAAGTGGAAGGACAGAATTTTAGGAGAAAAAGAATGTTCTTATCATTGGTATGTTATCTTTGGTATCCTTTATTAAAAAAAGCATTCAGTTCTCAAACTGTGTTTTCTCTTTGTATTTTTCTGCTTGAGACTCTGCATCCTTAACTTCGCACTCTAGAAGAGACTTCATGAATTATAACTGATAAACCTTGGCTTTATACAACTATAACAACCTCAAAAATACTGTAGGTTTGGTGTTTGCAGCTTGGGGAGGAAGCATTTGTGTGTATGTGGCCAACCAGAGACTACAATAGATGATCAGTACAGTTTTTTTAATGAATAAATTACATATTCCTAAGGCAGCTTCCATTTAGTAAGTGGAAAATAATAGATAAAAAAGAAAAATTTGGGGCTTTTGAATAATTGCTTATTTATCATACAGCCTTATGAATGATTTTTACCTCGTTTAAATGGAAGTACAAAAATTTGCCATATTCATGGCAACTTGTGACAAACTCTGCCTCCGTATTTCAGATGCACTGTGTTCCAAATGTCCCATTAATATTGCTTGGGTTATAGATGGCTGCATAGATATCTTTGTGCCTCTACAAGAGATCACCAGGAAAATAGATCTTCATGTGAATGCATCTGTATTACTCATTGGAGTAAATCTTGAAAAAAAAAACAAAAAGAGACAAATGTGGATGAATGTTGTCAACACTGAGTTTGTGACTTTAACCTAATTTTTACTTTCTATGGGTTTAAGAGTTGTGCTCAAGTTTAATATGAGAAATTCAGCTTTCACTGAGTGAAAATGATACAAAATAAAAAATCAATCTCTGTGATTTCTCAAGACATTTTTCAGGTTACAAGAAATTTCAAGAAGCTAAATATAGTCAGTCCTTTAAACATTCAGAAGCTCCTTTAATGGCTGAACTTCTAGAACTCTCATTTTTAAAGTTTTCACTGTAAAACAGATTATTTACTTTTTCCTTTCTGTAGGGAAAATTAAAATTCTTATGCACGATATGGAAAAGTTTCATAATGTTTTTCTGAATAAGATCTTCAACAGAATGTACTCACCTGCCTGTAAAATTACCCACCTGAGCTGGAGAGCATTCCTTTTTTTAGAGGTCTGAGAAAATCTGAGTAATAGCATGTTATTTCTTCTGTTGCTCTGAATGGAAATGAGGAAGTACCCACCCATTTTGGGGAACAATGAGTGGACATCATGATTTCAACAACTGAAAAACTGGAACCCTAGGATCCCAGTGTGAACAGTTCAGCTATTAATTTTTACAGTAATGAGAACAGAGAAAGGAAGATTATTTGGGCAAGAAAAGCAAAATCACTTTGCTAAGTGAGTCCAAATTAGGGTAGGGCTTGATTCTGCAAACAGGAGGACTTTTATTGTGTATTTCAGTTAATTAATAAACATTGCTTTTTTCTGGTAAGGTTTTATGGATCAGGGAAAATTTTTTGGTCACATTATTTCTTCAGGAACTCCAGGAGTTTTAGCACAGTTTCTATGGATTCTTTGGAGAACTGAGACAGGATCACAGTCACTGAAGGTGTAGTGTTAGACAGGAAGAAACCAAGGGGGCTTTTTCTGACATTGAAGTTATGCTGAGGACTATTTCAAAGAGCTGGAAATGTGTCTTCAACCTGAGCACACGGCAGAGAGAGTCTGTGCTCTGAGTGCAGCAGAGGAGCAAGTGGCTCCCAGCAGAAGGGTTTTTACTGAACTGGGGACTGTCTCCAAGCTCTGCATTTCAGTAGCAGTTTTTAGTGTGTCATTTTGGATTGTTATAAGAATGTGATCTTGGTCGCGATAAAGAGAGCAAGTCAATCCTATTTTATTAAACTTAGCAGCAGTAATATCTTCTAGCAGGG